ACTGTTCCCAAATAGTTAAGGATGTGGGATGTTCTAGTTTTAGGGAATTGCGAAGTTTAACTCAGGGTAGAAAAGAGTGGTCCAACCAGTCTTAGGATCTTATGATAATGATGATGATGACTAAAGCAATTATTACTTTTACGAAAAGCCGATATTTTCAATTGAAATCTGTAACATAATGCTATTGTCATAGCCCCGTTTTCGTATCAATTTCTAAGAAACTTTCAACTAGTCGGAACTTTACCCCGATCTTACCGACAACGAACATACGCTGTTCGTTCTCTTTGGATTTCTAAATTCACAGTACGTTTCCTGGCATTTACCCAAAGACAGTACATATCAAATGAAGAAAATCGCCGTTAAAATAAAAAACATTCTATATTTGTATAAACGCATAAATATACGTCGGTGTATCAACAAATAGATAAATATCAAGTCAGTAAAAGGTTATGATTCAACCTGGCCTAACTTCAACCTTACATTTTCATTCATCGTTTGGTTAAAATCAGTCATGTGGTAGTCAAGTGGTAGAACTTTAGAACTTTGGTATGATATAAATTGCCTGAGATTGACTCAATTTTCAACTGAAAAAAGACAAGGATTTTTGGTATTGAATACTATTTCATCTGGAATTTTAGGTTTTGGTGTTTTTTTAACTGTACAGTAGAATCCGCTTATAATGGCATCGAAGGGAAAATGACAAACACGTCATACTAAGCGGGCGTCATACAAAGCATAGTCTTAGAAAATAATCAACTTTCTATTTTGAATAGTTGTTTAGTTAAATAGCGACAAAAAACACAAATTGTTTCTATTTATTAAGAGAGAAAGAAAAAGAACGATGAATTGTTATACTAGTATACATAAAAAGGGACAGAAAAAAGAGCGAAAATGTTATTATTAATCATTTAGTTCACTATAGCCGAATATCATTTTTAAGAATTAATCGTAATAAACGATACGTCATTTTAAACGGAGTCATTATATCCAAACTTTCCTATAGAGAATTTAATATGAAAACCAAACTGAACTCTGTAATTACATCATATTAAGCGGTTAGTCAATATAGGCGGAGTCATAATAATCAAATTCTACTATATATAAAGTTGTTGCAGTAAATCGTTAAAAAAGTTGCATTCAGAACCACTCAAAGCAATTTTTCTATCAAATTCGAAATCCGTAAACGAAAATTTAAATTTCATATGAAGCAGTGGTAATAACGAAGTTTGGAGAAATAAGCATGCGAAGCGGACTAATTGAGTTTCAATGTGTATTCTAGAGCCGGGCATTTGCTGAGTTTATGGTAATCTAAACGTACGGTCTATCATGTTGTTCAAGCACTTGTTTGGTTAGAGTCTGGTTCGCACGAAAGACCGCATTTCCAGTTAACTAATTCAGCTGCAATATTGGAAAATACTCGAATAAAGAAACATCTCAAACGTTAACTGCCTGCTCTCCAATAAAAATACAAATACGGGATAAATTGTTTATAGATTCCTTTTCTTTGCAACAGGCACAAAACTAATATAGGTATTTAAACAGCTCGGCTATAAGAGTTTTCCATGAACAACTCGGTAAAAAAGGTCTACCACAACACGTGGCTTTTCAAATGCTACGTATTGTATTGTTCGTGGGTTTAACAAAATTAACTTCTAAGACTGATAACGACAAAAACTATTTATTACACTAATTACTATTATTAAAGGACTTAAAAACCCTATTAAATTATTACTAAACTTAGGTTATGAATTATTCTATTTATTTACACTATATCACTATTCACTTCGCTATTTATTTCACGCCTATCACTGTCAATTTATTTCTGGATTCACTTCTGCAACGATCTTCTTTTCTCGGCGATCGTCTCTTCCTTTAAATACTCTTTTGTTTAGTTTCTGGAACCTTTTGGAAACGTCCGGATAGTTTATTTTTTAATTGAACTGGTTAACTGCTTTCGCAGAACGCAGGTACGATACACACATTTACAAATACGACGCACATGAAGGAAAGCGCCTGCGGCTAGTCGGCAAATCGATAAGCCGTTCACGCACACGTGTGCCCGATCGCATACAAACACACTCGTGCTCGCTACAGTATCATTGACGTTAGAGAAACTGTTATTCAGAATGTGATTTAGCTTTTAATGTTCATTAACAAAGCAAGATTACTCACTATGACAAATTGGAAGACAACCACAACGTAGGTATATTCAGAAACTCGATAAATTTGAGTAACTTGACAGAAAGTGAAATTTAATTCACATCTATATATATAAAAGTCGCGTTAGTCAAAAATCGAAAAATAATGTTATTTTAGAAAATACTACAAATGGCGCAGTAAACGCCATCTGTAGCACGATGCTACATTTTAGGATTACGTATGCTCCAACAAGGTCCACTTGTGCGGATATCTACTTCCTGAAAACGAATCCCGGCGTAGCCAACCTCAAAGTGATAGGCACGTTAGCTTAATCGAATAAAATAATTCGAAGTGGTCTGTATTCTGTCGAAACTGCCAGACGCGGATCGCGATTTCGATCTTTTTGGATCTCATCAGCGCGTTGCTGGAGCAAACGTAATCCTAAAATGTAGCATCGTGCTACAAATGGCGTTTACTGCGCCATTTGTAGTATTTTCTAAAACGTACTGTTAAGACAGCAGGTAAAAGTTGGTCTGTGTTCTGCCGGAGCTGCCTGCGACGCGCTGATGAGATCCAAAAAGATCGAAATCGCAATCCGCGTCTGGCAGTTTCGACAGAATACAGACCACTTCGAATTATTTAATGTTATTTTAGTTGCAAAATTATTATTCCACCCAATTAGGGCTGATAAATGAATGAATATATATTAATCTAGCTACTTTATAAATGAGTATAAATTGTATTTTCTCTTTCTGAGGTTCAGATAATGTCACAAGTGTGACTGATAATCCCCTTAGTATAGCACAAAATAGATTACAGTTCATCTTAAAACGGCCCTAAAATTCATTACTGTGCCCATACACCGGTACTTTACTTAATTATTGTTCTGTTTATTTCACCGTTGATGCCCTTAAAAGTTAGTCAAAATTTTTGTGCTCGACATAAACTTAGTGTCATACGTAACGTCAAGATGGAATGTGTAGATTATTAAGTGCTGGAATACCAGAGCTTTTCTCTAAATTAAATTGTATCCAGCGCAAGGGGCATGAATTATAAAGGGTTATGCGTTATGTTTAATACGCAGAAAATGGCTCATTTAATTATTACACTGAAAACTGCTTTAGATAATAATAACAAACATGTAAGCATACGCGTGTATATTCTGGGACCCTTTTTGGAAATTCCAAAATGTCATGCTACATAAAGCGAAGATATTTTAAGTATTCGGTCCCTTTACATTTAGTAATCATTATTAAAAGTTTTGCTGCTACATTAATTTATAGCTTAAGGCGATATTAGTGTTCTCGTTAACAGTGCAATTTTACATCTATAATACAGTAGACTCCCAATTATTCGATACGGATGGAACGTAATTTGTTCCGGATAATTCACATTTCGCTTAGGAAAAAGTTTGTATCAAACAACAAATTCGGCTTCGCCCTTTCTTACCTGATCTTAAGGATCAACATCTTTTCGAGTAAGGACTTGATAAACATTTGTTGTTGGTTCGTACTTATTCTCATCATCTTTATTAACATCAGGTTTCACAGATGTTAATTCTTGGCCAGTTACTTCTGGACCAACTAACTTTTTCTAATCTTTTGGCAAGGTAGTGTCCTTATCATTGTTACAGGCTTTCAGACAATCCACTTTTTTAAATAAAATAATCTGCTTCCGGATACTGTAATATGTCATTTGCCTGGTTTTAAAATTAAATACATCCTTATTGACAAAGTCCTTTACTCCTTGTGCCCTTTCCACCAACGCGACCGTCATACACAATTGCCATTCCGATCTTTCCCCTTTATTTCCTAACCGTCTGACCGCCAACAATTTCAAGGAAATAGTTACCCTTTATCATTCGTCGCAATGCCAACCTCCTACGGGGGTGGCATGGAAATGTAAGCAGTTACCAAATTGAACGTAGGCTTTCACGGCTGGAGTCTATATTCGTCCCGAAGGTTTTTGGGATTCACCATGGTCCGGTGAATCTCAAAAGATTTGGTCCTTTACTTTTTTGACGCCTGTCCGCAAGTAATAATTTGTTACTGATTCGTCACCTGACTACCTGCAATAAAGTACGTACCTCGAAATTACTCTGAACGAGAAACTTGAATCTCTGAACGAGAGACTCGGATCTCTAAATAAGAGACTCGAATCTCTGAACGAGAAACTCGAATCTCTGAACGAGAGACTCGAATCTCTGAACGAGAGACTCGAATCTCTGAACGAGAGACTCGAATCTCTGAACAAGAGACTCGAATCTCTGAACGAGAAACTCGAATCTCTGAACAAGAGACTCGAATTTCTGAACGAGAAACTCGAATCTCTAAAGAGAGACTTTAATCTCTCAATAAGTGGTGTCTCGATAGACATGGTTAAAATTTTCTAGGTTCAACATATCCCAGTCATTCTACGAGAGACTCGAGTCTCTCAATTTTTCAGTTTTATTCATTCAGTCTCTCTGTGAGAGACTCGAGTCTCTGAATTAACAGTTTATCGTTCGAGTCTCTCATACAGAGACTGTGAGAGATCCATAAAAACACCTAGGCAATAACTAAGAGATTATGAAAGACTGTGAGAGACGCTCTCAGAGACGCTGAAAGACTCTGAGAAACTGGAGGGAGACTGAAAATTTTTGTATAGAGCGGAATTGACGAAACAAAAAACTACCCCTCAAAAGCGTTAGGGACGAATTACCATATTAAATAACATTGTATTGTAACGCATATCTACATATGTGAGTGTAATAAATAAAGACTGTGTGATAATAAATGCGGTACCTATGGAATTTAGCATAAGTTTCTTTTGAAGTGTGTTACAGTTTTCAGTGTAAATTAACGATCCCATTCTTTTTCAAGTTCCTCCAGAAAAGCCGATTATCTACGACGAGAAACGAAGAGATAAAACGGGACTTCTGGACCCGTACAACGAAGGCTCCGACGTCAACCTAATTTGTGAAGTGAGTGGGGGTAAGAAAATTTATTATTAATAATTAGATTGTAGTTACAGCAAGTCAGAGAATAAAAAAAAAAGGAAAGAAAGAAATAGAGAGAGAGAGAGAAAAGGGAGAAGTATTAAGTTAGTTTTAAGGCATAGTAGTCGCGGAAGCTTTTCCTTCATGAAAAATTCAAGTTAATTTAAATTCTTCCTTTGGCCAATTTATCGAGTCAGTGAATATAATCCCCAATTACAAGATATTCTAAAGTCATAATTAACAGCAAGAGATTATAACTTTTTGAAGCAAGTCGAATAAGCTAAGAAGTTTAAAGAACTTGATAAGTATCTTATATTGATTAATGTTACTGTTACACTACTTAATAGAATGTAATCCATATTGTTAAAAATTAAAAGGAACACTCACCCCTATTTACCACAAAAAACTTTATCGGAGCGGACACGTGTTTCGCCCACTTCATACGTGGGCATTGTCAACGTCAGTCTCGCGTAATTAAGGGTGAGTCTTCCTTTTAATTTTTAATTAATATTTACCACAGTCTCCTCTTTCTAGAATGGAAATAAAAATCACTTGTGTTGTTGCCTTTAATGCAACTGAGCCGCCCCTCGGTTAAATTTTAAAATTAAACACATTCATTGCTTCCAGTTGCAATACATTACGTTAATATTTAACACCCTCGTCGTAAATTCCATAAAGGACTTAGGTATTTCGTTTTCAAAACACGTGAAAATTTTATGTTAGTACGCATGAAAATGGGAAATCTTTGTTCCGGGTGAAAATTTATTATTTCCAGAACTGCTTTGTAATATGTTAAGATTCCGAGTGGAAAATTCAAACTGAAAACAAATTATGGAGAGGTGCATGATGGATTCGGCAATATCCTCGAATGGTCGGTCATTAAATGATCCTAATGGCCATCCCATTTTTTATAACAACTTTCACCCTCGGTAGACATTAAGGACGTTTTTGCATGCGGTGGTGCTTTCTAAATGAAAATCAATAACCAGCTTTTCTTTAACGATTTACCTGCATTACGTATTGGCTAAATAAAAATTATTTTAAGAGAAACCTTTATCTAATACGAATACTGACAACAACATAGAAACTAACACAAAAAGTGATACGTTTCTCTGTTGAAATGCATGTTTCTATTTCAATAAATATCAGTTTTTGTAATGAGTATCTTGATAATGAAACACTGCGTCAATATGCACTGGATTTCGTGTATAACGACGACGTTATATCCGGATGTCGCTATAGGCAAAGTTAAAAAGATACAGACACGAATGTATAGTTTTCACTATTTTTCAATTTTGAAACGATTTCCAACTTCTAAACACAGCTGCTACTCAGAATATCATTGTGTAACTGAGCCATTTTAACGTACACGCTTATCTACCTACCTGGCTAATATGATAAACAAATGATAAAAGTGTGGATGTAATCAAAAGATTTGAAAGCTCCTTGTGTCTTTGGCGGTCGACCCGGTCGCTTTATCTGTATGGGATTACTAGAGATTTGTTAACAGGGCGTTACATCCGAAGTCGCTATAGCCACATGAATTTCGTACTAATGTATGCTTTAAATTCAAAGAACTTAAATTTAACGTCACTATAGAAAAGTGGTCGCTATAACCAAGGTCGTAATAAATGTTATCCACTGTAGTTAAGGATGTTTGGGAGGTACAATCGGAGACAGGAGTACATAAAATTAGAAATTCGTGATTAATTAGGTTTTGCAGCATATCATGAGGTCAATAAATACTATATATACTAAAAAGAAAGTATACGGTTTGAGAGAAAATTTGGAATTTGACCAAAAACTTTGAATAAAATAAGAAATAACGAATAATATGGAAAATTTTTAACTGACTTGTGGCAGTGAATATGCCTTGATTTCAACTTCGAAACAAAAAAATATTTAGTCTCAATCTTTATTAATAATGAGCGTAAGACTTTTTAATATTTTTAAATAATAATTAATAGTTTAAAATTGCATTTATATGTCTCGTAGCATTTTGACATACCTCCCAAACACCCTTAAGCTCTCCCCTTCTTCCGCGAACACAGAAAAAAGCAAATGTTTGTCAGTTGTGTATTCTGTTAACAGAAAAATACGTATCATATAAATTATACGATTAACTAAGTAAATAATATCATGAAAACATGGAATTGCTTGCACATTCTTTCGCTTTTAGTTTANTCTGTTCGGTTAACGAATCTCCATAAAATGACGTGTAAAATTACAATTTTTTAAAATTTCAATAACTTTCTAACAGTTTAGTGAATCGATTTGTAATTTTTACAGGAGTTTTAGAATTGAATGAGGAACGTTCTTCCAAATTTTTATTTGTCTGGTAGTATTTTGACATACCTCCCAAATATCCTTAATGCGTCAACTCTTAGTTGTGTTACTACTTAGGTAACTACATATGTTATACCTTTGATTTTTCCTTCATATTCCACAGTAAAAGAATACAATGTCTACCAACATTTATTAAATTTATTTTACGCATTAAAGTATCATGTCTAATCAATAGAACATAAAAATTTTATGTGAGTTCTTATGTTTTCCGTTGTAAAGCGAGTGTAACTAAAAATTATTCATGACCATCATTACGTTGAAACATTCAAAATTACTCGTTTGAGAAGTACATTTGGAATAACTAGGTACCAAATTACTGTTATAAGAAATCGTCCGATGATTGATACTTAATAATATTAACAATCGATCAATGACATGTTTTGATGTATCCATATAGAAGTAATTTTCAACAAAGCTCAAATATGTACTTAGAGTAGGTACTTAGATCCAGTGACGGTTCGTGATTGCAGATTAATTATCTTCGAAAAAATCAGTCACAGTAATAATTAATGGTTCGAGTTTTAAACGGAACTAATAATGGACCGAGCGTCGCTTTTTGTTTAATATTTTAGGACAGTTTATTAAAATCGGTTTTTGTCGAAGAAAATTCTAAATTATAGAGCGAGCAGAACATCACAAATTAAGTAGACGACTTTGCTTTCAACTTATGTAGGTACCCATGTAATACAAGTTTAAAGCTTAATAAAAGAACAAAGGGGACTTTATTAAGGGATGTAAGGGACTTGACGTAAAACTACCCTACATCTAAAGTAAATAAAAAGCGCAACGTTATAAGGGAATTTTTATTGAAACAAAGCAAACATAAAGTGGATTTATTTATGAAATTCTGCAATGTAGTAGACGTTGATTTAAAAGTGAAAACAATCAATAATGCTCGACAACTTTAAACCTGCAGGACGTCCAAAGCCTAAGGTTGTATGGTTCCTGGAGAACACATTAATAGACGATTCGTATGAGGTTCGTGACGACGGAATTGTCGTCAATCACCTGCACTTTCCCAACATTGGTCGTCAACATCTCAAAGCCAGACTGATTTGCCAAGCTTCCAACACCATCCTGACACCACCGTCTTCGAAAGTTGTCATCCTCGACATTAACTGTGAGTACACCCAATTTCTTTTAATTTTTTTGACGTGACAACGTCTTATAATTCGATGGAGCCGGCTGCAAGCACGAAAAAATATGACTCATGCGGCGTTACCTCGCTCTGAGGCGTTCCATTTAAGGCTTGAAGTGCAAGCGAGAGCGCGGAACGAGCGACAAAGAGGCACAATCGGCCTCCGCGTTCGGCAGCGTTCGACATCTGTCTCTCTCCTACTTGAGTGAGCGATGCGTCCGCGTGGACAGCTGCTATACAATAATACATTTCCATTTACCTCCTTCTCTATATCCATACAAAATATCTATCAAACAAATAAAATTAAAATTTTCTTTTGAAAAATGAAACCATTCCATCAGTATTTTCTTATGACGTTGTCACGTTCAACTATCGTCAGTAAACCAACTTTACAGACAACCGATTTTTTGTTTAGATTATTCTCGAGGAGGGGAAATCTTCAAAAGATACGTCTTGAAAGGAGGTAATGTCGGATTTTTACCGACTAAAACCCCTCCTCGAATAGGAAAATCAATCTGAAGGTTGTACATCCCCGGGAAGAAAATGGCAAGGTTGGGAGTGGGAAAATGATTGAGTTGGGAAGAAAGCGAAGCTTTTTTTAAATTAAATTTTACACTAATAAATGGGCATTGGCATAGCAAAGGGGCGGCAGGCTTTGGCAGGGTTAGGGTCACCCTAGAATCCGTTCCTCAACCATCTCATATTTTTGAAAAATTCTCACCATTCGCTCCTGCCTCTCGTTATTAATTGCCCTTAGGGAAGTTGTGCATGAACTTTATTAGTTATTATTAGCATTAGTGATTATTATTCATGAGAATCCGCAAAATAAAAAGGAATTTCCCGGGAACACGCACATATATACCTATAATTGGCAAATTCTGAATCCGGAAGATACAGTAAGATTGTGCCGCGTTCCTGATCGCTGCGTAATGGAATTTATTGGCCTTAGGTAACTGTTGTACCGTAAAAATAATTTAGGGAATTTTTATGGGGAGCAGGAGATACCTAATTTCCAATACCCGCCGTCAGATGGCATTATTAGGTTGACTGCTGCTATAAGAAGAAGATTGTTAGGTATCTAGACACTGTATGAATGTATATGTAGGCTAGCGATGTTCCCGTTGCCCGGGAATTTAGAATAAATTCGTTACAAAGCAGTCTAACAAGATTCCGAGGCAGCCAATGCAAAATCCCTTCAGGTTACATGCATAAATCAATTAAATTTCGCAAGACTGATTCGGAATTCGCGGGAGAGAGGAGTGCGAATACGGCAAAAAGGATATTAGTGTGACGCTCTGTAAATATAAGAGAATATAAATCAAGGGTTGCGGGTTGACGCGATGGTGAAAGATAAATGCCGGGTAAAACTGTCATTTTAAGGGGCCGGATATGGCGTCGTGACGGCCCCAGCGCCGCTGACGACGACGACGACGAGATGTTCATCTGTTTCGGCTTCCACGCTCCAGCGGATTCCACTTTACGTGAATTGCTAAACGAGTAGGTGTTCACACATTACATCGTTAACTTTATGCCTACGCGAATATATTAAATTGCTTTAAATATTTGCATGTACAATTCCGAAACAATATTGGCCCAACTCCGACAGATAATTCTTTAGAATGAAATCGGTACAAAATGTGCCTTAATTCTGTTGATCGTTCGCAGATCTAATTAAAAGCAACAGTTATTAAACATCAATCGCATAAATACCAGTAGGGTAGGGGATGAAGAACAACGATTTTAAAATAAGAAAATCAACGTTCAGTGTAATGGTGAAATAAAGAAGGAGACAGAAGAGTGATGTTAGGCCTATTACGACAGGAATCGAACCAAAAACAAAAGGAAGGATCATGGTCGCATCGTTAGTTTTGTTTAAAAGAATGTAGGCCCATTTTTTTCAGAATAACGCAGGAGATAACCCAAAGTCGTAGAAATCGACCACTCCTAGACCATTTCAGATTAATGATAAAATAGAAGCAACAACATTAGAGACAGTACAACTGTAGGGATATATGTGCAAGGGCAACAGATTAGTATGTTTAGATTTGCAGTATTAGCATCTAGTAAAGAGGACCTAGAGATAGCTTTAAATAAAATGGAAGCGGTACTGACAGATCAGTACTGTATGAAAATAAATAAAAGTAAAACTAAAATACTGGTATGCAAGGGAAGAAGAAGTAGGGAAAGAGAGAATATAAAGAAAAGGAGACGAAAAATTAGAAGAAGTGGCTGATTTTAGATACCTAGGAAGTCAGATAAGTGAGGATGGAAGGAGTAGTAGGGATATAAAGCAGAGGATAGCGCAGGGTCGTGTCGCCTTTAATAAAAAGAAGTCACTTCTATGCTCGCGAACGGTTAATTTAGAGATTCGAAAAAGGTTGTTAAAGGTGTATGTTTGCAGCACGGCGTTGTACGAATGCGAAACATTCGAAATGTGGTTTTATAGGCGGATGATGAGGAACACGTTGGTAGAAAAGGTTTGAAATGAAGAAGAAGGTATTGGAAAGAATAGGAGAACAGAGGACTCTATGGAAGTCAATAAAAAATAGGCGAGATATATTGGTAGGACACCTTCTCAGGCATGAAGGTCTAGTCAGAGACATATTAGAGGCAGAAACAAGTGTTAGGAGGGGTAGAGGTAGACCTAAATTAGATTACTGTTCGCAAATAGTTAAGGATGTGGGCTGTTCTGGTTTTAGGGAAATGCGAAGTTTAGCTCAGGATAGGAAAGAGTGAAGGTACGTGTCCAACCAGTCTTAGGATTAGGACTGACGACCTTATGATGATGAGAAGCAACAAGTTTATTGATTATTTATCACAACTAACCACCGAATACGTCCAGTATTATCAATTATTTGTTTATTGTTCTCATTAACAAGTAGCCCCTTTGGTTCGTAAAAAAGTCAAGTCCATCTTTTTATTATTTATTCTGACCTTTACTCTTTGTAGTTTATTGAATGTCTAAGATTTTTTCTGTTACTACGAAAATATTAAGGAAAACGAATTTATTTCTGACTTCCGCAATTACGGCATTTTTCTTCTTTTACAGTGAAACCCACCTCTGTCAACATTTTAACGAAAGAGAAGCAGTATTCTGCTGATAAACGTTACGATATAGAATGCCGCACGTCAGGGTCCAGACCAGAGGCTGTTATCACTTGGTGGAAGGGCAGTCGACCGATAAAAAGATTAGCGAAAAACGTAAGTGACATTTTACCCCGTTACGATAATCGCTTGCCCCACTTTTTCCCTTCTGCTAATTTTATGCGTCGCAAACCAAACACAAGTAGATAAGTATATAAAATCCAAAAATGTTAAGATAAGGGTCGTTAGGGACAAACGTAGGAGAAGCGTGAAGACTACACATTAGATACACTGACTCTAGGTTTTTTTATAGAAAATTATTATATTTGTTTATAACTAGACCTAGATTAGATTACTGTTCACAAATAGTTAAGGATGTGGGATGATTAAGGAATTATGAGGATTAGCTCAGTATAGGAGAGAGTGGAGGTGCGACTGATGACCCTAGGATGATAATAACACAAAGTTACAAAATATACACGTCAATTAATTCTGTAATTTTATTATCAGCAAATAGACTGTCTCGGAGACTACTATTCTAACAAGATTTTGAAGTTAAATTAATTTGGTCTCTAACTAAGGATGACATTTTATATGTCAAAATGTGTATTAGGCTTTTATACTCTAGATGACGATAATTGACGATCTTAATTACTGGTACGTCAACATTGAGATTTGTCGTAGAGTTTTTCGGTATCTCTGACATGATTTTGTGATTATTATTTCCTTTATAAATAACAATTCTATGCATTAGTTAGTGAATTAATTTGTTGAATTAACTTTTACCGATTACGATAGCCTCAAATTAATAAAGAAAAATTGTTGCTGCTGTTTCTCCCTCGCCGGGAACCGAACCCGACCAATGCTTGTGCTCGAACAATTTTTTTTCACTAATTTGAGGTTATCTGTAGTAGGTAGAAGTTAATTGAACAAACTAATTCACTGATGCATTGCATTTAACTCTACATAAATTCAAAGTATCTCAAAAACCAATTGTATTAAGTTCAATGGAACTAAAAAGTAATGAATAAATTTTGGATGCGAATGGTCGAATATTTTGTTCGATTTTGACCGATAAAAATTGGGAAGGAATGAAACGGGATTCAGAAGTGAAGTGAGACCGTCATCCATTTCCCGGAGGAGTTGCAATTTGGTGCAAAATGTGCTGTTAAATTTGTCTGTTCCGACGAGTGAATAATATCCCACCACATTCTGGCAAATAAAATAGAGCGTCTTCGAAAAAACATTTCAAGCCTCGTTTACTTTCCTGAATACTTTCTAAGGTTGACTATCATTTGTTACGCTTCGTCTCTGACACGACCATTCATTACATCGACGATTTCTTTGCACAGTTGCCGCTTTTGTTCATTTTTCAATGAGTTTGCCTCCACAAAAGCCTAAACGACGTGATGATTAGGAAGAATGGCGGCGCAAAATGACGAGGCAATCCGAAAAGGGACACGAAAGGGAAAATGAAAGGGGCCAACACACAATCCCAATATAGAATGATAACACACGTCGTCCTTCCTATACGCGAAGACGAACACGAGAATAATAACCTTTTTTTCCGACACTTTGATGCCAGCGCTTCTTTAAAACAGCATCTAATAAGTAATCAAAATCCAATTACGAATGGAGGGTGTCCCGCTGCTCACAATTTTCCCTTTCCTTTTTCTTTAAAATCTTGACTCTAAGGAAAGTCTGACGACAAAAATCAAGGAAAGTATCCTTAATTTATTCATATAGAAAGGTAAGGAATCTTCAGATCGCAAGTCTTTCTCACTCGTGTCCTGTTTTCTTTTACGTTTCCTATATTCCGGGAGATTCTTGTGACGAAAAACGATGTTAAAACAAAAATAATTTGATGCAAAAAAGAAAACAACTTTTCTCTTTATTTATTCAGAAGTAGCTAATTAAACAAATCCAAATAACCTTGAACAACAATGATTTATTTACCGCAAAAATCATATTATATTGTCTATAAATTAAATGAAAAATCCCCTTGACAAATTTGTAAAAGCTTTCGCTAGTAGCTAAACTGATGATGTCCTAATTTGGGTCTAAAGATAATAACGTTTCGTTAACACGAGTAGCAAGCTTCTTCAGACCTAGCCCGAATCAAGACGGCATCAAAAATCCTCTTTCTATTAAGCTAGCTCTAAATCCCTCACGTCTAGGGAAATTTCCCCCGATCTGGCAACAGTCGAATGTGTTAGTGGACATCTCTCACCCTCTTACTTGCTGCTAGCGGGGAAAGAAAGGAAAAAAGAGAGAGAGAGCTGATAAGGTAGATTCGATTAGTCTGCCATCTGTTAAATATATAACAGGGGTCATCTCAAAAAGTTTCACAGAAGTTTTCTTGATCCTGCGACTAAATAATCCTCTTTCCTTTAAGTTAGCTCTAAATCCCCTAGGTCTAGGTAAATTTCCCTAAATCTAACAACAGTTACCAATAATCGAACGTGTTAGTGGACATCTCTTTCCCTCTCTTTCTCTGCAAGCAGTAAGTAAGAAAGAGAGAGATGGCCACTAACACGTAGCTGGCCAGGTAGATTCGATCAGTATACTGTCTGTTCAATATTTCACAGGAGTCATTTTAAAAAGCTTCGCAGAAGTTTCTCTGATCCTGGGATTAATCCCCTTTCCCTTAAGTTAGCTCTAAATCCCCTAGGTCTAGGGAAGTTTCCCTAGATCTGGCAATAATTACTGAAAATCGAACAAGCTAGTGGAAATCTCTCTCCCTCTTATTTACTGCTTACAAAGAAAGAGAGCGAAAGAGAGAGAGCTGACAAGGTAGATTCGATTAGTGTGCCATCTGCTGAATATATAACAGGAGTCATTTTAAAAAGCTTCGCAGAAGTTTTTCTGATTCTCGGGTTAAGTAAGTCTTTTAATTTGGTACAAATTAGCTAATTTAATAAGATACTTACGTAATTGGTTGAAATGACATTTACAGGTAGGTGAATATCGACTTAATGTTCTCTCCGTCATGCAACAAAGAAATTTGAGGGTGTTAGCATAAATGAATTTTTAACTGGCGTAATTCAGTTTATTTAAAGCAGATTGACGGCATCAGAGCGAGAATATCCTACAGAAATTTAGTGTCAACAGTAAGTAACTCGATTAATTTTCAATATTGTGTTACTAAGTTAGAGGTTTCTCCATTTTGCGAGAAAAGCCAGAAAGTCAGAATAACCACGGTAGAAATAGCGTTTTCGTCATTAAAAGTAAACACGTAAACAGTCAAACCAAACGCGTTATCAAAGAGAAACAAACTTTAAACGGAAATTATTTAGAAAATTGGCGTTGTCACAAGTTTCAAAATGATCTATATAAATTACACATCCTTACGACAACTTTTCGAAATAATGGTGGTGCAGTAAAACCGTTAAATTTTCATAGTATTCCGCGCACAAAAATACAAGTAAATTAAAAATAATTTTATTTATTAGCATCCTAAACATCTCTTCATTAATATCAAGTAGATAAAGAAGATATTCAAAAAAAATGTGAACATACGTAATATTAACCAAGAAAATGACATTAATATTTATCGCTAGATAACTTTGTCTTTGTTTTTTATAACATGGAAACCCTTACGAAGGATTTTGGTGTAAAGGAATCCAATATTTCCTAAGATTTAGCTTTAGTTCAGGAATTTTTTAGCAGGATATTAAAAATAACAATTTTTAAATTTTGTACGTCGGAATCTACAACTACGAAACTTCGAATTGATTAGGTTTTGAATTTTAATTATCATATACATTTTTACAATAAGGACCTAAAAGTATTTATCCTTTTTCAACAAAAACCATTCAGTTAATTCATATAATTTTTTTTATATAGTTTATTTATATTCTATTATTACATAGATAATCCTTTTCTTATTATTTTAAACATAATTTCAATCAAAATTGTTCATTATTAAGCTTTTATATTAAATATTCATATTAATATTGAATTTCATTATTCTGCTGCCATCTACTAGCTCGATTATGTACCACGTAGTACTAATCGTCTTTTTATTATTTGTTTATTGAGTAAAAGAGAACTTCAACTTTTTTTTCCCTTTTTCTTATTATGGACTTTAATCTACTTTCTTTTTCCTTAAAACTTATTCAAATTTAGCAAAAGAAAACAATAATGCAATCATTAATTTTGATACTAAAGTGAGTTAATAAATTTCAAAAGCTCTTTTAATGTATAACACTAAGCAATTAATAGTCAATCAATCAGCGATTAAATCTAACGAGCCATTTTAAATTTTGAGCGAATCATTTCATTAATTATCGGGCTGTAGAGTTGTCAATTTAAAAACAAATGAACGCTCCAGTACATATTCTCGTTTATTATTTCACTCACATTTAAAAGAAAATTGAATTTATAAATAAATGAACTCTTTTTCGAAAACGTTAATTAAAAACAAACACAATTCTAAAATAAATTAAAATACATACAATAAAAACTAATTAAATGTTTATGGCTTATCAGTTTATAAAATTCAAATCTAAAACATGTGTTCTATCTACCTATGTATAAAAGTGAAAGTAATTTCACGTATAATTAAAGATAATTACAGAATGTCAAGGACGCATTCTCCGTTTGTTTTTATTCAACACTACATTTAAGGAAATATAGAGGATTTTTCCGAATAATCGTATTGTTATTTTCTTTTTGGGTTATTAATATTGCGAAATATCTCTACAGCCAGTCCTTTCGTATGTGATCTATGCGATCGACTAAAGTAAAACAAAAATACTAGTAAGCAAAGGAAGAAGAAGTAGGGAAAGAGCGAATATAAAGATAGGAGACGAAAGATTAGAAGAAGTGGCTGATTTAGGTATCAAGGAAGTCAGATAAGTCAGGACGGTAGAAGTAGTAGGGATATAAAGCAAAGGATAGCGCAGGGTTGAGTCGCTTTCAATAAAAAGAAGTCACTTCTATGCTTGCGAACGATTAATTTAGAAATTCGAAAAAGATTGTTAAAGGTGTACGTTTGGAGTGCGGCGTTGTACAGGTGCAAAACATGGACGGTGGGCGCAGCGTAAAAAAAGGGTTAGAAGCGTTCGAAATGTGGTGCTACCGGCGAATGAAGATACCGTGGATAGAGAAGGTTAGAAATGAAGAGGTATTAAAAGGAATAGGAAAACGGAGGTCTCTATGGAAATTAAAAAATAGGCGAGATAGGTTGGTAAGACACCTTCTCAGGCATAAAGGTCTAGTCAGAGACATATTAGAGGCAGAAACAGGAGCTAAGAAGAGTAGAGGCAGACTTGAATTAGATTACTGTTCGCAAATAGTTAAGGATCTGGGATGTTCTAGTTTCAGGAAATGCGAAGATTAGGTCAGGATAGGAAGAAGTAGAGATGCGTGTCCAACCAGTCTTAGGTCTGACGACCTTATGATGATAAACAACGACTTCTTATTTTCGAGAATTTATTTTTTGTTATACTGAAGAGAAAACATCCCAAATCTTCTATTATATTGTCATCACAACATTATAATCGTTATTACTACGAGATGAAATAAATAAATTTATTAAATTGATTTACTGATGTATTTTCACAGTTCAAATTTTAAAACACATACATACATACATACTTAAATGTAATTAACTTAAAACTAATGAAAATAAAATTGCCATTAAAGAAATGGTCAGAAATGGTTCATAGTCGTACAAAAAACATAAGGTACCTATAAAAAATTCTTTTTATTCTACTCTAGCAATCATACAATGAATAAAAATGGGATATATCTTCTTAACGGTCCGACATAATTCTTTGAACATCTCGACATTTTCTTAGGTATAAAGCGCTGGATTAAGAATGGTTTCTTGGCACCGGTTGCAATAATCGTGAATGCGCCGGGTCTTCAATTTATTCGCGTTCATAAAAGAAACGAGCAGGCTCTTAAAAATAACAAAGTCAAATTTTATAGAAACTACAACAGCTGACATGCTTTAATAAATAATTAATGAGCAGATCGGGAAGTTTGCCCTAGGCACCCTATTTTGCACAGAGTTCAACAAATTCGATTTAGGTACGTATAAAATCCTCAGTTAGGGATCATGTACCTGTAGGTCTTACGAATACACATTTGGAAAGTATTTCTTATACACTCATTAAAGTCATAACGTCATATAAAATATTGTAATTACAATTCTGATAAATAAACTTAAACTTAAACTTAAACTGAAATGAGTGACTTGAAAAGTCAAACAATGATAATATTACACTTAAAATATACCATAAATAGTATTCCATAAAATGTATAATCAGAAAATGTAAACCACCGGGGGTGGGAGTAGCTTCAAGTCTCTCGAAATACAGTATGGCGGATGCATGTCAGTAGTTGTAGTGGTGGGAGAGATATAGCGGTTAAAAGTTTAAAAGTGGTCTACTTGTGTTCTAGAAGTCCTTTAGAATATTCTTCAGTTTGGTAGATATGAAAGGTTTGTAAGTCGACCACCGGCTACCAAACAGCAGTTTGTTATTATAGAATAACTGAGAATGCTCTCGAATGTTTCTAGCGTTGTTCTCAGCTGAAATGTTCTCGAATGTCTAGGATTACTCTCAGGTAGAACTTTGTAAAATGAACCGGAAGTATTGACAACGTTCTGAAATCATATTATTAGATAACTAACACACTATCTCAAAGGTGGGCTAAAAGTTTAAACCAAGAATGTATTTTTGTATTCTATTTTGATTTAGAATTCCTTTCCTTTATAATATCCCTAGACAAAAATTTTCAGTCTCTCTCCAGTATCTCAGAGTCTTTCATCATCTCCAAGAGCGTCTCTCACAGTCTTTCACAGTCTCTCAATTATGGCGTAGGTGTTTTTATGGATCTCTCACAGTCTCTGTATGAGAGACTCGAACGATAAAATTGTTAATTCAGAGATTCGAGTCTCTCACAGAGAGACTGAATGAATAAAACTGAAAAATTGCGAGGCTCGAGTATGAATGACTGGGGTCTCTGAAATATGTTGAACTTAAAAAATTTTAACTATGTCTATCGAGACACCACTTATTGAGAGTTTCGAGTCTCTCGTTCAGAGATTCGAGTCTCTCGTTCAGAGATTCGAGTCTCTCGTTATGAGACTGGATACGAAATGAGAACTCTCTATGAGCGACTCCAGTCTCTCCTTTAAAGACGCTAAACAGTGTTTTTAAGTCTCTCGACAGTCTCTCTTAGCGACTCCAGAGAGACTCGATAAGAGACGGAGACTCGAGTCTCGCTTTCAGAGACTCTGACAGACTGAGCATTTTTATGCTACTCAATTTGTTTTCAAGATGCCTCCGTTACTGTGTAATGACGTAATTATTTCCTTTAGTTTCCAGAACAAGATAACCAAACAATGAGTATTTTAACGTTAGTTCCAACTATCGAAGATGATGGGAAATACTTGACATGTCGCGCTGAAAACCCGTCCATTCCAGACAGCGCGCTTGAAAACAAGTGGAGACTGAATGTTCACTGTAAGTTTCACTCAATTATTTATCTCTGTCTATAACGTATTAATTAATTATTTGTATTCATTTCATTTGTATTTATCATCACGAATAGAAATATTAAAAAAAAATACTTGATCATATTCACATTCAAGATCTAAATAGTCAACCATAAGAAACTTCTACATCATAAAGCGAAACGTCAGTGTGATTATATATTACATAATACGTTTTTCACCACTTAAATAACTTGAATTATCATGTTGATAAATATTAGGAGAATAAATACGAAAGTGTATTATTCTAGTGGAATTATGGCCTTATCCCTTAACATTGGTTCTAATTTTAACATTATTTGGTAACTAGAGGGAAATAAATAATTGATATCATGAATTGTAATATTGAGACTGTTTGTACAAATCAAAATTGGGATTGAATTTTTTCATACATCCCACCGAGTGTCTAATTTTGCAAAGAAGAATCTAATAAATGTGAAAAATACGAAGGCTTGAATTTGTAAAGAATTCAACTTTTAATAAATAACGCGATGAAAAGTCTAAAAAGTGTCATTACTTTTTTATCTGATTAATTTTAACTTACCACAATATTGCGTGGGTGCCCAAAGGAAAATGTTCAGGAATTCAGGAACCTGACGATATTCTCGTCTGTAAGAAAAGTTTTTCCAATAGATATGTAACATAAAGAGACCTGTACGCTATTTATATTGAGGGGGTTGTTTGCTTTATGTTTGATTAAATATATGCATATATGCGAAAAGCTAAAAGTAAGCACTACGTATCTGTCTGTCTGTTTTATGGAAAACTTGTTACAGACATGCCTGTAGTAACGCTCAAAATGGGATCGAGTTTGAACCCCGAAGACATCAAAGAAGGAGATGATGTTTACTTTGAATGCAACGTTAGAGCCAATCCGAAAGCTTACAAACTCTCTTGGTTTCATGACGTAAGTATAAATGCCGCTGTATGTTCTTATTGCCATAGCTATAAGCTTACAAATTCACCACGTATGAGCATATACAATTTCAATTCTGATTTCTTTGCTAATGTTACGGAAATTATGCCCCAAGCTCTAAAAGTTTCCTTCTTGTCACTTTCTTGTCTAATATGTAATGAGAGAAACTATTCAAAACCTAGAAAAAGGGTCGGCAGATTTTATTTTAGATGGGGCCCGGATATTTTTGAAAATTTTTATGGAGATCCAAAAAAAAATATTTCTTCTTCCAAAAAATGATTAGGCCTCAAAGCTCAAACATATACTTCATTTACTTTCTCTAGTGATGTGCCCCTTCCAATGTCTTGGATGCGCGCTGGAAAAATCGTAGCAAGGGAGAAAAAAGCTCATTATACTCTCGACTCTTGTTCATTAAACAGACTTTTTCATACAGTACCTGCCAACAGTTTTGTTCAATCGTGAATAGTAGTGCGAGTCGAAAACAAGCGTTAAAGCCTTTAATATGTCTTCATATATAATAAACATCTCGTTGATATTTTCAGTAGTAATTGGTACCAATAACAACACATTTGAGCAATGCAATTGTAGTGGATAAAATGGTCAATTTTGCCGTGCAATACTGTACGAATTATACGCTCCTCACCGGTTAAGAGTTTGGCCGAGAGTTGCCTCCTTCCTTTTCTGGCCTAGTGTTGTTCTTTTCCACTTTGCGCCGGTCAAACTGAAGGTCACATATCGCTACAGAAAGTAAACGAAGTATAGATTGTTATTAAAAAAAATTTTTTTTAAATATCTTATTTGGAGCAATTTACTTTCAAAACATTTTTGACTGTCCAGTTTTTGACCTGGACGGACCTTCAAATACTCTCATGACAAAATACTTCTTAATTAAAATCCGAAAAAAATCCTGTTTCATATTCTACAACTTCTCGCGTAATTGTAATCATCTTTTCCTTATAGGTTACCGAAATACATCACAACGTTTCGGCTGGGATAATATTAAGCGATCACAGCCTCGTCTTGCAAAGTGTCACGAAAGCCACGGCAGGGAAATTCATTTGTCGTGCGACGAACACAGAAGGGCGAGGGACAAGCAACCCCGTTGTCCTCGACGTAAGGTGTAAGTGGAAAACATTTTTCCTTTTTCCATTTTTAGAATGCGAATCAAAGAGACCCGTGCTAAGAATCCTTTCACGAAAATAAAATTTCCAAATAACGATTTCAATCGTTTAAAAGAAATTTCCAACACTTTGTACCTATCTCGTTCTTTTAAAATCAAATTAAAGCTGTTCTATACTCAAGCGAAATTGCTATTTTGATTTCGGATGACTGGACAGGGACACATATCAAAATTAAATAAAATTGCAAAAATGACTATTGTAAAATTTGATTATTACGCCCAAAATTTTGCTTCTTTAGACGTGTTTCGTATTAATTATGCCATAATGTTATGCATAATTATACATACAAGAACAAATACAATAAATTCTTAAAAATACGCTTAATAACATAGTCTCTAAAAAATCCCATTCTATTTATTTACCCTCTATATTTTGGAGATAACCCTTAAGTTGGCAACAGTGATCCCGAGCCGACGAAGGCAGCGGTGTGTAAAACTGAAGATAGTGTAATGTTCGTGGGTTAGCAAATTAACTATTAAGACTCACAACGACAAAAACTATTTATTTACACTACTGTTACTATTCACTGTTCTATTTATTTCACTTCTATCACTGTCTATTTATTTCTTGATTCACTCCTGCAACGGTCTATTTACTTCTCCTCCACTTCGGCGATCGTCTCTTCCTTTAAATACTCCGTTGCCTCCTTTCGGGAACATTCTCGAGCCGTCCGGAAAAGTTTCGTTTTCTTCGAACTGTTTAATTGCTTTCCCGGAACGCAAGTACTACACACACGTTTACAGATACGGCGCACATGAAGAAAGGCGCCCGCGGCTAGTCAGCGAATCGATAAGCCGCTCACACACACGTATGCCCGGACGCACACAAACACGCTCGTGCTCGCTACAATAGGAATTACCACGGCAATCGTAGGTAATCCTATATCAAGGAGGAGTTAAAGACAGTGTAGAATGAAAGTAAATAAAGTTATATTCAAAAAATTGGTGTCTTGCGGAGGTGAGAAGATGGTTCATCATCATCATAAGGTCGTTTAGTCCTAACACTGGCTGGACACGTACCTCCACTCTTTCTTATCGTGAGCTAAACTTCGCATTTCCCTAAAACTAAAAGAACCCATATCCTTAACTACTTGCGAACAGTAATCGAATCTAGGTCTACCTCTACCCCTCCTAACTCCTGCTTCTGCCTCTAATATGTCTCTGACTAGACCTTCATGCCTAAGAAGGTGTCCTACCAACCTATCTCGCCTATTTCTTATTGACTTCCATAATGTCCTCTGTTCTTTCTAATTCCTCTTCATTTCTAACCTTTTCTACCCACATTATCCTCATCATTCGCCTATAACACCACATTTCGAAGTCTTCTAACCTTTTCTTTTCCGCCGCGACCACTGTCCAAGTTTCGCACCCGTACAACGCTGGGCTCCAAACATACACCTTTGAGATATAAACATCGAAGACGAAAACCTGGAAAGTCTCCTGTTTTCGTTATCTACTTTTTAACAAACAGAAATCGCCTTTGGGCTCGCGAACGGTTAATTTGTAAATTCGAAGTAGACAATTAAAAGTGTATGTTTGAAGCACGGGTACGAAACGTGGATTACGCGGACGTGACAGAAACAAAACGGCGATTTCAAGGGATGAAGATAATTATTCGGAATGTATATGACAGTAAAAAAATGTTTTAATTACCTTTGTGCTATAGACATTNAGGATTAGCTTAGTATAGGAGAGAGTGGAGGTGCGACTGATGACCCTAGGATGATAATAACACAAAGTTACAAAATATACACGTCAATTAATTCTGTAATTTTATTATCAGCAAATAGACTGTCTCGGAGACTACTATTCTAACAAGATTTTGAAGTTAAATTAATTTGGTCTCTAACTAAGGATGACATTTTATATGTCAAAATGTGTATTAGGCTTTTATACTCTAGATGACGATAATTGACGATCTTAATTACTGGTACGTCAACATTGAGATTTGTCGTAGAGTTTTTCGGTATCTCTGACATGATTTTGTGATTATTATTTCCTTTATAAATAACAATTCTATGCATTAGTTAGTGAATTAATTTGTTGAATTAACTTTTACCGATTACGATAGCCTCAAATTAATAAAGAAAAATTGTTGCTGCTGTTTCTCCCTCGCCGGGAACCGAACCCGACCAATGCTTGTGCTCGAACAATTTTTTTTCACTAATTTGAGGTTATCTGTAGTAGGTAGAAGTTAATTGAACAAACTAATTCACTGATGCATTGCATTTAACTCTACATAAATTCAAAGTATCTCAAAAACCAATTGTATTAAGTTCAATGGAACTAAAAAGTAATGAATAAATTTTGGATGCGAATGGTCGAATATTTTGTTCGATTTTGACCGATAAAAATTGGGAAGGAATGAAACGGGATTCAGAAGTGAAGTGAGACCGTCATCCATTTCCCGGAGGAGTTGCAATTTGGTGCAAAATGTGCTGTTAAATTTGTCTGTTCCGACGAGTGAATAATATCCCACCACATTCTGGCAAATAAAATAGAGCGTCTTCGAAAAAACATTTCAAGCCTCGTTTACTTTCCTGAATACTTTCTAAGGTTGACTATCATTTGTTACGCTTCGTCTCTGACACGACCATTCATTACATCGACGATTTCTTTGCACAGTTGCCGCTTTTGTTCATTTTTCAATGAGTTTGCCTCCACAAAAGCCTAAACGACGTGATGATTAGGAAGAATGGCGGCGCAAAATGACGAGGCAATCCGAAAAGGGACACGAAAGGGAAAATGAAAGGGGCCAACACACAATCCCAATATAGAATGATAACACACGTCGTCCTTCCTATACGCGAAGACGAACACGAGAATAATAACCTTTTTTTCCGACACTTTGATGCCAGCGCTTCTTTAAAACAGCATCTAATAAGTAATCAAAATCCAATTACGAATGGAGGGTGTCCCGCTGCTCACAATTTTCCCTTTCCTTTTTCTTTAAAATCTTGACTCTAAGGAAAGTCTGACGACAAAAATCAAGGAAAGTATCCTTAATTTATTCATATAGAAAGGTAAGGAATCTTCAGATCGCAAGTCTTTCTCACTCGTGTCCTGTTTTCTTTTACGTTTCCTATATTCCGGGAGATTCTTGTGACGAAAAACGATGTTAAAACAAAAAATGATTTGATGCAAAAAAGAAAACAACTTTTCTCTTTATTTATTCAGAAGTACCTAATTAAACAAATCCAAATAACCTTAAACAACAATGGTTTATTTATTGTCTATAAATTAAATAACAATCCCCTTGACAAATTCGTAAAGGCTTTCGCGGCTAGATGATGTCCTAATTTGGGTCTAAGATAATAATGTGTTAGTGGACATCTCTCACCCTCTTACTTGCTGCTAGCAGGGAATGAAAGGGAAAGAAAGAGAGAGAGAACTGACAAGGTAGATTCGATTAGTGTGCCATCTGTTGAATATATAACAGGAGTCATTTCAAAAAGCCTCACAGAAGTTTTCTAGATCCTGGGGCTAAATAATCCTTTAAGTTAGCTCTAAATCCCCTAGGTCTAGGTAAATACCAAAACTCGAACGTGTTAGTGGACATCTCTTTCCCTCTCTTTCTCTGCAAGCAGTAAGTAAGAAAGGGAGAATGGCCACCAACACGCAGCTGGTCAGGTAGATTCGATCAGTGTTCTGTCTGTTGAATATTTCACAGGACTCATTTTAAAAAGCTTCGCAGAACAGACAAACTTCTGGGACTAATCCCCTTTCCCTTAAGTTAGCTCTAAATCCCTTAGGTCTAGGGAAGTTTCCCTAGATCTGGCAATAATTACCGAAAATCGAACAAGCTAGTGGATATCTCTCTCCCTCTTAGTTACTGCTTACAAAGAAAGAGAGCGAAAGAGAGAAAGCTGACAAGGTAGATTCGATTAGTGTGCCATCTGCTGAATATATAACAGGAGTCATTTTAAAAAGCTTCGCAGAAGTTTTTCTGATTCTCGGGTTAAGTAAGTCTTTTAATTTGGTACAAATTAGCTAATTTAATAAGATACTTACGTAATTGGTTGAAATGACATTTACAGGTAGGTGAATATCGACTTAATGTTCTCTCCGTCATGCAACAAAGAAATTTAAGGGTGTTAGCATAAATGAATTTTTAACTGACGTAATTCAGTTTATTTAAAGCAGATTGACGGCATCAGAGCGAGAATATCCTACAGAAATTTAGTGTCAACAGTAAGTAACTCGATTAATTTTCAATATTGTGTTACTAAGTTAGAGGTTTCTCCATTTTGCGAGAAAAGCCAGAAAGTCAGAATAACCACGGTAGAAATAGCGTTTTCGTCATTAAAAGTAAACACGTAAACAGTCAAACCAAACGCGTTATCAAAGAGAAACAAACTTTAAACGGAAATTATTTAGAAAATTGGCGTTGTCACAAGTTTCAAAATGATCTATATAAATTACACATCCTTACGACAACTTTTCGAAATAATGGTGGTGCAGTAAAACCGTTAAATTTTCATAGTATTCCGCGCACAAAAATACAAGTAAATTAAAAATAATTTTATTTATTAGCATCCTAAACATCTCTTCATTAATATCAAGTAGATAAAGAAGATATTCAAAAAAAATGTGAACATACGTAATATTAACCAAGAAAATGACATTAATATTTATCGCTAGATAACTTTGTCTTTGTTTTTTATAACATGGAAACCCTTACGAAGGATTTTGGTGTAAAGGAATCCAATATTTCCTAAGATTTAGCTTTAGTTCAGGAATTTTTTAGCAGGATATTAAAAATAACAATTTTTAAATTTTGTACGTCGGAATCTACAACTACGAAACTTCGAATTGATTAGGTTTTGAATTTTAATTATCATATACATTTTTACAATAAGGACCTAAAAGTATTTATCCTTTTTCAACAAAAACCATTCAGTTAATTCATATAATTTTTTTTATATAGTTTATTTATATTC